CGTAGATACGAAACAGTATGTATTTTTAGAGATTTAAATGATTTTTCGTATAAAAGGTACAAATAAAAGCTTGTACCGCAGCGAAGCTTCTCTATTTTTTCGCTTTAATGTCTCTGACGAAAATTTTATTCCAGTGATAAGAAGAAAAAACAGAACTGATCAACGTAATGGAAGAAAAATCATCCATTGTTCCGCGTTTTTTTTTTCTTTGGTACTCAACAAGAGTTTTACTACCATAATCACAACAACGGAGGAGGATAGAATATTTCTGCATCTCGCTCAAAGTATAATATATAATCTACGCTACACTTTTTTTCGAAGCACGACATGTAAATGCAACGCAGATGCGATACAAAAACAATGGACCAAGGAGAAACAGCAAAAACATCGTCTGTAGAACGTGTCCTGCACATTATAAGCTCCGTATCTCTTCTCGTTTGAACGCGGTGTCTCGCGGGATTACGCGTTTTCGAGGGGGGCTGGCTCGCGCGAATTTTTTTTCAGCGCGCACCTGCGCCCCGAGTATCGAATGTTGCGCATCACGGCTGCGGTCTTCAGGGAAAAACTCGCCGAACCGGTCACGCGTAAAATATCACGAGCCTCGTCTTGACGAAGAGGGCCAAGTGGCGGCAAAGTGGCGGCCGCAGCAGCAGCACGAGGTTGCGGTGACTCGCGATCGATCTTTCTTTTGCGATATCGAGCGCGTAGAAACGTTTTGTGCACGCACCACGCATTCCTTCCCAACGCGTGAACAATTTCATCCCGACCGGACAATATCGCAACTTTGCGACGTTTTTGGGGATATTTTTAGAGAAATATCAGCGTTTCAACTTTGAGGATTGCTAGTATCGCGGATTACCAATTTATTTTATTATACCATTCGTTTAAGAAACGATTCAGGCGAAAGACAGACAAGTAAATGATAGGGACGAAAAGTAATCGATCACGCACGAGAGAGGAGGAACGAATAATTTTAATGGGTACCAAAATCGTCTTGCGAGTAAATTTCTATGTGAAAGCTTGCAATTATTACTCGAAGTAAAAATTCATATCGCCTTTACAAAGCAATTACAAAATTAAATTAATATAAGCTTCACCACTCATCCCTGTACATTATCCACGAAGACACAGAGTGGTACTATACGGTAAATGGCGATCAGAATACAAATACATAGACTATTCGGACTTCTTGCCGAGGCCATTGCCTTCATTCGAACATATCTAAATGGAATAACAAGTTTCTTTGCAACAAGTGGACAAGAAGTCTAACGTTCTTCGTATAATTCGAGCAATTAGAATTATAAAAAATGGCCAAACGTAACGTGCCATAGTTTCACAAGCCTGGCGATAATAATAGGAAAGAATACCGACCGAATTCGTGATGATAATGCACAGACTCGTGATTATCGGTGTTGTTCGAAGCCTGTACAGGTTTACGCTTGTGTTACGTCGTAATGACGGCCAGCAAGCGGCGAACCGGTTGTGGCCCTGGCCCTGCCACTGCACTTATTTGGCCCCTAACCCGATCCAACCAGACGAAAAGTAAGAAGAAGAAGAAGAAGAAGAAGAAGAAGAAAAAAAGCACGGGGGAACCCGCAAAACTGAGCCACACACCTGGCCCAAGGATAAAAACGAGAGAGAGAGAGAGAGAGAGAGAAGGTACGAACACCAACACGAATTCTGGTAATTTGCGAAACGGCCGTGCAAGATTCGATAATCGTCTCATCATCGAGGGAAGGTGCGAGCATTTCCTCGCACGAAGCGAAAAAGCGAGAGGATCTATTACACGTGATTTGTCGATGAAAAATGAAACACGGGGAAATTACGTAAACTCGCCGAGGGTAAGGTACTCGATCAGAACGAGGAGAACGAGTTTATTTCTCTTTGCCGAAAAAGCGAGAAGATGAACGTTTCTAACGATATCTCGATTAACAGCCAGCTGCGAGCGGTAACGCGAGAGAAGATCAGCATCCTTGCAGCATCCTTTCCCTCGCGTATCATCGCAACCTTTCGATTCGGTGCATCCTTTCACGAGCCACGATCCAAGGAAAACTTGGCGCCAATTCTCTTTTTTCCTCGCCGGAGCACGCGTCCATTGTTAGCGTGCACAATGGCAGGGGATTCGAGAGACAGTCGAATCGTTCCACTTTCGATGATGGAACGATCCTCGCGAGTGTTGCACGTACGTACAACGTAAATCCGACCGATAAATCCATCAGGGCTACGAATGCTGACCGATATTTCGCTTATGGCCGTTTGCCAGCGACAACCTCGGCTCCCTCTGACCAGCTATATCGCTCGTTGCGATATGCAGTCGAACGATTCTAAGCTGCATTCTCTCTGTTCCGTTCTGTTCCAGCCTACGACGCTATTTCTTCCAACGGACCAAGTATGTATGTCTCGGGCCGAGACACGATTCACTATAGTATACTACTACAGGACTATTTTCGTTTGCTGCAGACGGAGCGCGAATCCCTCCGGTCAGGGTCAAGGGTTTCTCCACGCGGTGGTATTCTGCACGACGGTGTTTCGATTTTCCTCGAAATTTCTCGAATTTGAAAGCAAGAAACGAATTCGTCTTTTCGCAGACTTCGATTAGACAGGAGTTCAATCACGACGTTTTTTTTAAATTTTATCGTCAGCCTTATATATCGTAATGATCGGAACAACTGTTTTAAACCAATACTATTTATTTATTGCACCGTATTCTGCGTTGGGTTGCTAGTGCACGTACTAAAAATTTAATAAGTAACAACTTTTCAACTTCTATTTTATAATATATCGAGTAATTTAGTAAAGTGTGATACAATTCGAAACGTGAGTCAATACGTAATCCTGCGTCACCATTTCCTGCACTCGTAACGCGTCTGGTTATCACTATTTACATATGTATGTTCTAATTGAACTGTATTTTTACTGAATTACTGAATATTGAAAATTTGTTTTGTTGAATTTGCTTTTAGTTTGACTCGAGCTGAATGTGAATCTCTCGTTTCAACGGGCCAAAGTTAAAAGAAAAGCAAATTTTAAAAGCACCATTAGTCGCCGATTAATAGGCAAAGGATTCTTTTTTCTGAAAATTTTAGTATCGAAGAGTGCGATTAACGATAAGAGTTTTGTAAGTCATCGACAGAACGAGTTACACTATCATACGAGTTTAATTATTGTACCAATTATTCGTTGAAAACTATGTTGACATAAGTTGACAACGAACTTGCTAAACGCTAACAGTACGACGCGTGTTATTTCATCATGGAGAAAATAGGGCACTTAATAAAATGAGAATATCGCGTGTCAATTAACGTGTCTCCACCTCAGGATACTAAATTCCCAAAAGGGAGGGACACGGTGAAAAGTATTAAAAATAAGGCTCGAGCTACCGGCCTTTCTCAGTGTTGACTCGCCTGGCGAATCAACGCAGACGAGTTGTCTCTTTCATCCAAACCGATCGTGTTCAGAACGAAATTAAGAACCCGAAAAATCCATTTTCTTCGCTGACGAGAAATGGAGATTCCAAATTCGCTGCAGAATTTTTACAACAGGGAAATGACGTTCCCTGTTATAACCACGAGGGCAACGAAGAAAAGCCCCACGAAGATCAACGTCATCACACTGAGCATCCCGCTGTACGACGCGCGAATCATCGATCTGGTTCTGTTAACTTTGGGAGCCAGTCTGAATTTTCTCATTATACTGCCGATCGTCTGCAAACCTTCCATGAGAACGTCCTCGAATCTCTACGTCGTGAGTCTGGCATGCTCGAACATGGTGATCCTGATCGAACCTCTGGAGGAGATACTCAAATGGTCCCTCGACGTGAACATGAAGTTGAACATGGACTACGTGTGCATGATCAGCTTCGACGTTTCCGTCATCACGCTCTCGATTTTGAAATTCATACTGTACATCGGTATCTTTCGCGAGCAAGTGTCTTTCGGGGACGAGATACTGAAGAGAACCACTACACTGAAAGGTATTCTGTTGATCTGGTCCTCGTGCATCATATCAATCGCTATCGGACTCCATATATACGACTTCTTCGAAGAGGACATGGCGGACATTTACGTGTGGTTCACAATCATGTTCATCGGTATGCCCGTGCTCATATCGATCGCTATTGACCTTCTGATTATGTACGAGTTGTACGTATTGAAAGAGCTCGAGGGATCGTGGAGGATTAGGGAGTTGAAGCAATTTGTTCTATTGGGTGAGTAATAAAATTGGTGATTGTGAATGAATGAATGAAGTTTGAAAGTTGATTCGTGTATTCGAGAAATTATCCTAGCAAAAAGCAGAAGGACTAGTGTGAAATTAAAACGGAGGAACTTCATTTCAATTTTAAGTGGATCGATTTTGTTCCCACTTGAAGAAATGAATCTTTTCAGTGGTTATCTCGATCGCTTTTCTGACCATACGAATGCCGTACCGATTAGCTAGAGCGATCAGTTTCTTACTGCCTAAAGCGTCGTGCTGCACCGATGGCAAACGAGAAGGACTCTATTTCATGGCCAAAGCGTACCCAATTGCTTTCTCGCTCATTTACATCGTGCTGTCGAACGACTTTCACGAAATCTTCCAGGTTCGTCTTTGGAATATCTAGGTAAAAGTATTTGAAACATTTAGTAATAATTTTCCTTCGATTGCAGGTGATCCTAAAATACCGATGCTGGACATGTTCCAAAGAAACCAAAGTTCGTGAAGTTGTTGCTTGATCAACGAGAAATTTATTAATATACGAGACGAATCAACGAGGATAATAATTGAATAAACTTCAACGTGAATTTAAATACCATCGGTCAATGATCAATGTATCTATTCGTCGAAGTAAAGATTAACATACAGAAACGACGTAACACCAGCGTCAAAAAATTTATTTATAGTGTACGATGCGTCGTACTCCTGCGCAACGAATTACTCAAAAGCTCAAAGTGCTGCTCTCAGACGTGAAAGCCGCGCTTTGTGTGCTGAGGTTCGACTTGAAACACACGCCACACAAGCTGATATTCATAACGCGAGTGAGAACAAGAGCACTTCCAACTTGCACGCAAACCGAATAAAAACCACGCTCGGAATACTCGCGAAAACACACACACACTTAATCGCAGAATGTAAAAGACTAAAAACGAAAAAGGATTTTAATATGAAATGTGAAACTAATTTCTCCACTCGTGTAGCTTCCATTCGAGGAGAAAAGGAAACTAAAGCGTGACTAAATTAAAATTAAAGTTTCGAGACTAGCAGATTAAAGCAATTGACAGAACAAGCGCCGATTCAAAGGAACGTCTTCCATTTGTAATGCGGCGGAGTAGACGAAATTTGCGCTCACGTTCTCTCCGAGAGGAGGGGACGGATAAGAGAAGCTGGACGTCGCAGTCGCAAAGTCATGAATTCATTGCGCTCTCTGTATGCAAATTCGCTTCCCTTTGGGCACGTTTGTCGAGTGCATAAGTCGATGGAGAGCCGCACTTTGCCTGCTCGCACGCGTATCCTCGACCCGGAGACGACCACGCGCGCACTTTGTACCTGCCAGATTCGAGTCGAGAGAGAAAAAAAAGACCTCGCGACCGCAAACCGTAATCTACTACCGCTTCGATCGTGTTGCGCTGCGATAACGACACGAGAGATCCGAACTTACACGGGTTTTGTCCCGTTGGTTTAGAAGGTATTTTCGCGTTGTATGCTAATAACTACGTCATTCCTTTGCGAACTCGTGAATTTTTCTACATTTTCAAATACGAAGCGAGCCGGTCAAAAATCGGAGACTTTTATCTCGACATATCTATGTTTTTTTTTTCGTCCTTTTTTTTTTTAATGGAAACGTATCTCTTCTCTATATATGTATGTGTATGTCACCTCGAAGTAGGATAGACACTCGACTACTAAGCAAACTACAGTTCCATTTATAAAGACAAAGACTGCCTTGAAATCACGAAGGTACAAGGCGTCCTTCTTGAAACAATTGCGTTCGATATGTTCCTTCGAATCTAATGTAGAATTCGAGAGATGAAGAATTTGCTGAAAAAGCCAAACACTTCTCTATCAGCCTAACTAGCGGCACGATTATTTATTAACGTTAGACGAAGAAGAAAAACGTGGAAGAACCGCGCGTTTTACGAAAAACGGAAATTCTTGCGGTAGAACCTAACAAAGTGTACCGTCTTTAAATTCAATTAAGCGGAACGAGGAAGGCGAGACATAGTTTGCGAGAAGCAGAACAAATCTGCGGATAAATCTGACTTCGTAGAGTTTATCGACGAGATAATTAGAAATTCCTCTCACGTCGTGCTTCCTATTCCAAGCTCCGGTGGTTCTGCGGCTACATCGTGCGGCGAGCGCTGATGCCGCTGTTGCACGCGCGTGTGTACGTGCGCGGTTACGCGTGCTACACAGGATTATCGGCCGCGAAAGAAGAAGGCAGCCTACGAAAAGCAGATGCAGCGTACGTGTGTTCGTCGGCTGCCGAAGAAAAAGAGGAGCCCGAGGAAACAGGAAACCAGTGAAGCGGAAAGCCATCCTAACAGACGGGACTTCCGGCACGGTCTTTCGGTCAACTTAACCCTTTCGCTACGAACAGTGACTATAGTCAGCCAACGATTGATGCTCGTTATGTAAGATCGGTTACTATAGTATATACCCGTGTTTTGAAACTTTCCATACGAAATTA